AATTTGATTGGCTAAAAGGTATTAGGCTATTAGTTAACAAATATTAAATAATCTTTTATGATTATTTAAATATAAAATAACCCAATAACTAGTTACTAGTTATTTGTATTATTTAGATTATTTCAAGTTATTTACTATTTCTGAAGTAATATGTAGTAATAATGAAATAGTGCAATTATAATAATTAATATAATAATTAGATAACAAGCAAAATTAATTATTAACAATGTATTTAGTAATTATTAGGTAATAATTAAATAATATAAATAAAATTAATTTATTAATACTATAGTAATAATTAGATATATAACAAGTGAAATTAATTATTAACATGATAGTAATAATTAGATAGTACAAACATATAAATGAAAATGTAAAAAAAGAAAATTTTTTTTCATATAATACTATTCCAAATAAAAAATACTTTTAACCTTATTTGTAAATAAATAGTAAAGTTTTTGAATTAATTATTTAACTACATATTATACTTAGTAATAGACTACCTATAAAAAAATTAGTAAAAATTTTAAAAAGATAAAGAACTAACAATCAAAAAACTTCTCATTAAAAGTATAAACATTGCAGAGATAATATTATAGACTTGATTAATTAATTGAAAAATTATTTTATTAAATATAAAAAACTTCTAAAATAAATAAAAGATTTATTATGCATCAAAATACAAATAATTTTTTTGGCTTGGATTTGAAAATTTTAATACAGATTTATTCAATAATAATATAAAAAAGTGAAATCTACAACAGAAATAGTTATGTTCTTGATATAGATCTTACTTAGTTAAGATTAATAATAAGTTTGTTAGAGTTAGTTACTATATTAGATAGTGATCTGTATTAATAATATAACTACTTTCACAAGTTTCTATTGTGGGTTTTACCCTATTATATAATAATAATATAAATAAAGTGTTAGTAAATTTTTTTTATTTAGCTAGTATTGCTTTTATAGCAATTAAAAATCTTTTTTAATATGAGTTTATAAGAATTATACAACCAGTTTATATTAGTCTAAATCTTCAAAATTTAACTAATAATTTATTAGATATAGAATATCAAGCTGAATAATAGAATTTGAATAAAATATTAAAAAATGCATTAGCTATTATTTTAGCTTTAGATAGATAGTTAATATTTGATAAGAATTAAGTTTAAATTTTATTTTATATTTTTCTAATATCAAACTAGTAGTTTATAATACTAGTTCCAAATTATATATAGCAGATTATATTTATAATAAAATCAAATCCATAATTGAAATTATTAGGCTATTTAAATTTGCTAATGTTATAACTAATAATATTAATACAATACATGCTGCTTGAAAGCTATTATCCAAAGTTAATTTGTTTAAAATATAATAAATATATTGGAAAACTTTTAGTAAAAAATATTTTTAAACTTGAAAAGATCAACAATAATTACTCAAATAAAACAAATTATTAATTTTTCTATTTGTATCAAAAAGAAAAGATAATTTTATTAAGTCAACCAAACTTGATAAGTTTAGTTTAACCAAGCAATACTTGTTTGAAAATTTGTTTAACTTCTCTTTAATCAATTTGTAGAAATAAATTAAAACTTCAAGTAACTATTATACAATATAATAAATTTAGAGGCCTGTTATTGCCACACCTATTTTTGTTAATGCCATCCCAAATACCAAATAGTGCTTCAGAAGAGATATTTTTATTAAGTAAATTCTTATTTTGATCTTAATAAAAGTTGTTCATTAGTCCTTTCCAGTTCTAATAGTAGTAAAATTATTAAACTTCAGAGAATTTTTAAATTGGTTTGCAATCAATTGACAGAACAAAATGTTAATTAATAAACAGCACCTCTGTTAATTACTAGTGATACTGATTAGAATCAATTAACAACAAAGCTGCTAATTAAAATTAATTAAAATCATTTTGATTGAAATCAATTAATATCAAAACTAAATTAAAATTGATTATTTTTAATCAATTGTGTATCAATTAGCTACCAATATCAATTATTGTCGATTTTTCTAATCAATAGCAATTACCTTTGCAGCTAGTAATCAATATTCACTCTATTTAAAAATTTCTTGATAAAATTGAATTAGTAGTTTCTAAGATATATATATATCTGAACAATACATTCTTCAAGTTGAAAAACTTATTATTGATTTTTATAAAATTATTAAATCTACTATTTCCAATACTCTTCTCTTTACTCTACAAAAACTTAAAGATTTAACCAACACCTACAACACTTCAACCTCTACACAACAGTCTCAACAAATACTAACACAATCTTCCAATATCTCAGAACCTTCACAATCTCATCTATCTAATCAATCTTTTTAACTGAGTCTTTTGCAAAACATATAAATGTAGCTGTCACCTCTGAGATTATGATGTTCTCCACTTTATATGGGCCATTCTTAGAGGAGAATGATATAAGTAGATAGGCAGGAAAGCCTATTATGTGAAAGAATCAAGTAATGACAGTCAGACTCAACATACAGAGCAGACTCTAGATTCTTGCACAGCTATGAGAGCCAGCATATAGTAGTGATTTTGCAGAAAATCTTACCCTCTGCTCAGATACCAAGTCATCCTATCCTTCTGAGAAGACATGCTTCAACAAATTTCTTGATAAATACAATTTACTACTTCTTCTACTTCCACAAATTCTCAAATTATTTCTTCATCACTTGATTAAATATTCTTTCTTTCAACTTTATAAAATATTAGTTTCACTTACTTAAATATATTTTTTTTAACCCTATAAAATATTAGTTAATATTATCATACTTGAAACACATATATATCTTGATATAAATGAACAAACTCTTTCTGGTCACTTAATTCTCTCTTCAAACCAATATTTAATTTATTTCTCTTCTTCTATTTTGTCATTTACAATAGATTATTAATTTATTTATTCAAATAGTTTATTAAAATTACGATATACCTTTCTATTCTGATTTACAACTTTAACTTTATTCTAAACTTTGTTAAAATCTCAATACACATAATAACTAAACTAATCTACATGACGATCACTTGAACTATAATTTCTAAAAAACTTTTTACTGGAAAAAATACTGTACACTAGTATAAAACCAAAAAGGTTCTAATATAAGATATAGAAAACAAGACTACCCTAAGAAAACCTACACATCTTCGTATCATTGACACATCAACAAATTTGTAGTTACCAAATTCCTCAAAACAATATATTTTATATGGCCCTTTACATGCATTTTTTACATTCTTAATATATGCAAGCAATTGGTACTTTCCACAAAAAATATGACAAAAGTAATATTGTACTTGTTCAAAAAATTGCTGTAGCTCATATCTCTCAGGATCCTTTGACTTAGAAGTATTGACTTCTAACTCGTACTTAAGAAAAATAATAATTTTATTAAGAATTATAAAATAAGAAATGAATATTTTAAAAAATTACTATACTATTATACATGTATTATTCCGAGTATTAGCTGCTACTATTGTCATAGAAGAACCATGCATATAGCCTTCTTTTGTTCATAATTTTGAATATTTTACTCCCCAATCAGGTAACTATGTATAATAGATTAGCATTACAGTATTAAATAGTATAAATATATATTTTAAAAATAGCTTACCTCAGTAATTTGTTTATTTAAATTGGCCTGATAAAAATTTGATAATGCTACAAATTCATTATCATTCAAAGTATAATTTAAACTAGGTGCCTATAGTTCTTCTCCACCATCTTCAATCCAAATAACTTGTTGCGAGTGATATTTTTTAGGTGGTGCTAAGGGAGAAGAATCCTGCATATATATAGTTGGTACAAAGCGAAGATGATAAAATTGTTCTAGTAATAGAACATTATTCATCAAATTTTTGTATATATGCTTGCAAGATTGAACCATTGGCTGAAGCATTCCACATAGCCATTCTATTGGATATTTCTAATATACCCAACATGGCCCACAATTTTTAATACAGGCTTGTATATGCAGTAAATAGTGAAAAGTAATTTTAAAGGCTGGCAAACATTTTATATCATTGCCAACATATAACCTAAACAAATTATTAATTTAGTAAGATACTAAAATAAAATAAATAAATAAAAATTAATCATATACCTAGTATATGATGTAAAAAAAGCTTAAAAGTTTTCATCTAAATGATGTAATTGTTTATAAGTAATTGTTTTTTCAGTAGTAATTTGTGCAGCTTCTACAAATAAATGCCAATTATCTATGAAACTATTGAATAAATAGTAAACTAATGAACATTTTATTTTTATGAAAACTTTTTAAAAATAACTTACCTCTTATTATGAAAGCAATGTAGCAAAGGTATAGAATATAAGCAAGTCCAATTTGTCCAATGCTCTGCTTTAAACACATTTGAATGCTGATAAATATTTAATAAAGGTCGTCCAAATTCATATGGCATTGCTTTTGTATTTGCTTCAATTATTGAACCAATTTGTTTCTACACATTTTTTGATAAGGTTAGTAAATTAGTTTCAGCATTATTTAAAGACCTATTCGAATAAAATGATCCTAACCAATGCTTATACATTTACATAGCAGCACCTTCAAAGACAAGATGCATAATGTCTAAAGGAAAAGAAGCAGGAAATTGTATAGCTATTAATTCAAAAAGAATACTTTCTCTTGCTATTCCTATAAAAATATTATTATTGCTAAAATTAATAGATTTTCATGTTTAACTCGATCTTCTGGAGGTATATTATTATTAATAAATATAATTATCCAGTTATCATCTCTTTTTTGATAAAAAATTTGGTAGCCATCCAAACTTCCAGTAAGTATTAAGTCTCGTTCATCTTGTATTAACTTTTTGTGTAATAGTCTTTTATATAATTGTCCATCAAAAATATCTTCAAATTTGGTAAAATTAAGCTTATAGTTTGAGTGATATCTAAATATTTTAGACCGCTATAAATCAGCATATTGAAATTTTAATCGAGGTATTAATGGATAATAGGCTGCATTTTTGTATGCAGATTGATCTTCTTTAAATCGTGCAGCCTTACATATAGGATACCTTGACATTTCTGTATATTCGCCAGTAAAAGCTATACAAGAATTAATACACATATCAACAAAGTATATATTAAAATTAACTAGCTTTTGAAGAGTTTGTTTTGTCATATATAATGTTGGACTATTACAACCAAATATTTGTAAAATTTCGTAAAAATTTTCATCAGATATTTGAGTTTTTTTAGCCTTTAAATATAATAATTGTAATACTTTAAGCATATTTGGCGATTCTAAATAAAAATTTTAATAAATTAATAAATTAATATAATAAATTTAAATTAATTTATTGATATATTAGAGCGCTAATATATAAGTTATTATATAATATTAAATTTGATATATAAGATATGTAGCTAGTGCTCTTAATAAATAAAATTCTTACGTTCTTGCTCCTGTATAATTTTATTATTATTGTTATTTTTATAATAATTTGTTTGATTTTTTTGTTCTAAGTTTTCATATTGCAAAGTAGTATTATGATCTTCTTGTGAAGTAATATCTTGATCTTCATAAAAATCTTGATGTTGTAAAGTAATAACTTGATCTTCATAAAAAGCTTGATTTTCATTAAAATCTTGATCTTTGTAAAAATCCTGATCTTTGTAAAAATTCTGATTTTCATTAAAATCTTGATCTTCATAAAAATCTTGATATTGTAAGGTAATAATATCTTGCTCGTTATAAAGAAAATCTTTTTTTGATTTATTAGTTCTTTTTGTTCTAAAATATGTTTTTCTAATAATTTTTCCATTTTTGTTATAAAAACATCTTTCTGCTTTATCATGTTGGCATTTAATTCTCTTACTAAGTTCTCGTCCTTGAATACTTATTATTAAACAAGCTTTGCATTTACAAATTACTTTTTCTAATTTACACTTATTAGTCATTTATTATATATTACTAATATACTTGAAATTTTAACAATTAAAAACACCAAAATTTTTATTTAAGGTTTTATTTATGTATTACATACATTAAAATATAGTTTATCAATTAACTGCCAAATTTAGAAATTTAGTATCGCGTAATAATATAAATAATTTAGATCCATATAAATATAAATTTATTCACATTTTTGTTTTTGCAAATTTCAAACTTTTACAATGACAACTTCATCTTCAATTACCTATTCATATCTATCTCAAAAAATTATAGATAGTGAAGCTTCTTCTGAAGAAATATTAGATTCATTATCAGCTCAACAAAAAATAGAAGTTTTAAAATTATGTTATGATTCACAATGAAAATTACTTAACAAGTTACTTGAAAAAAAAAGAATTGAGCAAGCTATTATAGAAATACCTACTATAGAGCCACCTAAACAAGATAAACATCAGTCATCAAAAATTAAACTTTGGGAGCTTTGCTCGTGGCTACCAAAAACTTACTTTGCAAAAATTAAAGCTAATTTTACTTCAATATTGAAGCAAATAAAATCGCTAAGTCATCAACATGGTCACAATTAGGGTATTCAGCTAGAGAAAGTTGGATCGAAGATGTAAGATAATTATATTTATAATTTATTTTAAGATTTTAAAAAAATTAACAAATACAGATTTTAAGTTTAAATTTAAATTATATTTAGGTATATGACAAACATAAAGTTCAAATCGGGTCTAATAGATGGATTGTACAAGAATGTCTTAAGCAAAAATTAATGAATAGAGATAAAGACTATAAAATATTATTAGTGATTAAATTATAAATATCTTAATATAATTGTTTAATTATTTGTTTTATTTTTAGCTGATAATTTTTGAAGAAAAATAAACAAAAAGCAAAATATTACTATATAAAGTAGAAATAATGATCAAGAATTTGAATTACAAGGGGTTTCTACCTATTATAATAAAGAGAATACAAATTCGGCTTATACATCTGATATAGAATCTGATGATAATCAGGAAGCAAATACATTTAGTAAAGGCAAGTTTATTAGTTTATTATTATTTGAGTGCTACAGAGTAAAGACTAAAAAGTAAATATTTAAGTTATTATATAGCGAACTTATTATGCATAATATTTATATGATAAATTTACTAGACTACATAATAATTTAAATGTTCCTTTTAGGTTTTAC